GATGCTTTAGCAGCTCCCTCCATGCTTCCTGAAATATCTGGGCTACATATGGAGACCATAAGTTGTGCACAGACTTCTGATGTAATAAACAAACCTGCCCTCTTTTGGCCCCATGCTGTACACCATCAGCGCAGTGATTGCTGACCACGTGCTGGACTCTCCTGAAAACAGAGGACTCTGCATCCATGTTCATGAGCCTTCCTGCCCATCTCACCATCAGGCCTTGGGAAGCAGCGCCCCGCAGCCTTGGCACAGCTGCGGAGACCTCCGTGCCTCAGGACAGAGTCAAATGTGGGACCCTGCAATTCTCATCTGCAGGAAGCAGTGGCCTCCTTCATCCTCAGGCCATGTTACTGGATGTCACCTTTCTCCCAGACCCCTTGGCATTGACTGAGTGCCCAGAAATGAAGTTCGACCACTTTCTGAATTGATGCCATCCTCAGATGTGACGGAGCTCAGTGGGCTGCCGCTGCCTTCCCACTCTTAGCTAGGGTGCTTCTGATGAAGGGTGAGACCCAGGCATCAGCACGGCCAGCCGAACTTCAGGTGGTCGTCTCAGCACTGATGCTGCACCAATGCTTAGCCCCATTTGTACATTTTTACAAACTTTCTGGCCATTACCAAGAATTGACCACCTCCCCTCCCCCTTGAAATAAAGAAACCTCTTGTCTCACGGATACTCAGAATACCAATCAAGGTAACAGATGCCTTTCATTAACTAAGGGCACAGTATGGATCTCACACGGACACTCCTTATTCTCTGCAGAGTTCCAGACACTGCTGATGATGACCAAGGCACAGATTTCACTTCTCAGAAAACAGTTCTGGGCTTTGAAGAAGGTGTCCAGTAGAGCTTCCACTGCCCTTAGAGGCTGCCAGCAGCTGCTTTTGTTGAGAGAGAGACTGAACTCCTCAAAGAATTCCTATTTAAGTTACAAAGCAGGGAGTGGATGTCCTGCCTGGTCCACCACTGCCACAGGCTTTGATCACTCTAAGTTCGTACCTCTTAGGAACGTGTGCTTTTTACACCAGCGCTACACAGTTCCCTCCGCTGCCTTCATTGGACATCGAGGAGTTCACATCTGGACCACCATTCACTCCGGACTGTCCGGGGGTGGAGGTAGCTCTGTGCAGGAGGTAGCTGCATGTGGATCGGTAATATCAGACTTGCCTGAAAACTCACCAGTGCATGGGAAAGCATAGTGTCACCAGATATTCACGAACATGCTTGTGCTGCCAGAAGCCCCCAGCTCCGTTCGCCTCCTGCTGAATGAGTGGGGGCAGTAGCTGTGCGTCTTTCACATTTCACTAATTATAACTGTGGCCTTCCTGATCTCTCATGCCAAGCACTTATTTCAGTTTCCTACCAGTCTTTTCTCAGCCTCTCAGAATATTAGTCATCATGAAAATAAATGTCTCACGTTAAAGCATCAAGGAGTCAATTATATCGTGACACCTAAAATTTCATGCAGCACCCCCCAAGGTCCTCAGCCTAATGGCTTTTATCACCTGTCCGACTGCAAAACTCTTCAAATAAGTCAAGCACTTTCCCCCAAGGGACCGGAGGTCACCCCAGTCTTTGATGACTGCCAAGCCTGCCTCCCACACCTGATTGCTCATTCTGTTCCTAAGTGCAGCCCCCACGCAGACCTGCAGAGATGCAGAGTTATCTGCCCTGGCTGAGTGTGAGTGACTAACAAATTACTGTTGGTTTCATCTTCTCAGTGTTTGGGCAAGAACCCTAGGGCAAGACAAACTCCTTCACTAGTGAGGTCAACAGGAGGGGAACAAAACTGGGAACTGCCTTTTAAAAAATTCCTTGTCACCCTCTTAATGACACGTGCACACATTCTCACAGCTCTTTGCTCATTCCGTTTCCTGAGGTCGGCCACTGATATTTGATCCGTCCTTAGCCTCACAGGATGACAGAGGAACTCTAAGTCACATCAACTTCCCTAGCGGTGACACAATTCCTCCTGTGCCATTAAAGTTCTCCCCTTCTTTAATCCGATGCTCAGTAGGTTCTGTTTCACTCGTCTTTGCAGATTCTCAGGAAGATGAGAATCGGTTTTCATTTTGGATGTTGCCATAGAGAGGACTCTATGGTAATTTTTATTTGCAAAATCAACTTTCTCTTATTTTCCCCAAGAAACTGCCAACTCTCACGTAAGAGACAACTTTCTGGAGTCAGTAAATATAGTTTATCTTCTTTTGAGGGCAAATTTCTTATATTCCCACAAACAATAACATACTCATATATAATTGTGGCATGCCATATTTCTTGGCCACTATGAGGAGAAAATTATTTGTTTTAAATCCAAATTAATTGTGAAACTTTGGGTAGCTACAGAAAAAAAAAATCTTTGCGTATACATTTATAGACCTCTTATTAGGATTAAATGAGGTTATGAGTAGCTAATATTTATTGTACACTTAGCATATGCAGAAGCTTCCTGTGTATTATTTTATTCCATACTTAAAACAATATTTGGCTGGGCGCGGTGGCTCACGCCTGTAATCCCAGTATTTTGGGAGGCCGAGGCGGGTGGATCATGAGGTCAAGAGATGGAGATCATCCTGGTGAACATGATGAAACCCCGTCTCTACTAAAAATACAAAAAATTAGCTGGGCATGGTGGCGCATGCCTGTAATCCCAGCTACTCAGGAAGCTGAGGCAGGAGAATTGCTTGAACCCAATAGGCGGAGTTTGCGGTGAGCAGAGATCGTGCCATTGCACTCCAGCCTGGGTAACAAGAGTGAAACTCCGTCTCAAGAAAAAAAAATGCTCTAACACAGAGCCTATATAGTTAAATGCTCTAACACAGTTCCCATGATGCTGGTGACGAGTAGATGTATGATGTAGGACAGTGACACATACGATGTGGGACGGTGCTTCCCCTGAACATGCTCAAGATTCGATCTCCTTAAAATGCAGAACCATAGACCACATTTTGACTAGCTTGGATAAGGGGTCAGAGCATTGAAATGAATGTGTAGGTAACTGCTAAGATTCTACTGCTCCTCTGGGCGCTGGCTCACCATGTTAACATAGTGTAGGACCTCTACCTTTTGCTGGAAAATAAATGCACACATATAGGATGTGCCTGTGCATATGGAGTATCTGCTGTTTTCTGGATGCTGTGCTGGACACCAGAGATAAGGAGTCAAATAATCCATGGTCTTTGTCGGAGAGGAGCTTGCTACACAGTGGCTTCTGACTGCAGTGTATATCTCCTCTTCTGACCTGGGAGGGTGAGCTCCACCTCAGTGTTGGAACTGAACACTGCCCAGTGGGTTTGATGGGGGAGACTGTAGCTAGCTGTGCTCCCACACAGCTGTGAACACAGCATGTCTGAAGATGCATTTACCCCCTTGTCAAAAGGCATCCTCTGGTGACATACACACTCCCCATGATTATAAATTCTTCCTCCTTCCACCCAAGTGCCCCTAAGTTTTGCAAAGATAAAAACATAAGCCATATTCTTGACATTAATTGTATATTAATAATGAAATTTTCTTACTTTTCACAAATTAAAATTTTTCTCTGTATAGAATATACTGATTAAACGAGGAGTGAATGCATGTCTATTACAAACTTTATGGTCTACTTTGCTATTTTTAAATTTCGAACGCTCTTATAAAATGTGTGTTCTGGACTCATGTCCGCTTCCATTTCTTCCCTCTGGCTTCTATTAGTTTAGGCTATGAGCAGAGATGAACAAGGTGGCTTCGGTAATGGATCAAGGCTATGAGAATTGTGTGAAGAAGGATGGTAACTCTGTAAATATCAGAATGAATCCAAACTTACAGATTCAAAACCGGATTATAAAACCGCTCAAAATGAACTAAAAGCAAGGCTATGCAGTCTTTTAGACTTTGGAGGTCGACATGGGTAGACTGCTTTAGCTCAAGAGTTTGAGACTAGCGTGGGCAACATGGAAACAAATCGTCTCCATAAAACAGTTTTTAAAAATTATCCAAGCATGTGGCACATGCCTGTGGTCCCAGTTCCTCAGGAGGCTGAGGTGGGAGAATCACTTGAGCCCAGAAGTTTGAAGCTGCAGTGAGCCTAGATCACACCACACTGCATTCCAGCCTAGGACAGAGTGACACCCTATCCCAAAAATAGAAACAAAAACAAAAAAACCAAAATCACAGCTCCAAATAAAGGTGGTTACACACAGCTCAAGTTGTTCCTGTCTGGTTTACAAACAGATGGAAAAGAACTATTTTCCTGTCCGCAGAAGCACCATAATGCTGAGAGCAAAGCCAATTGTTCTAGCAGGTTCTGAAAAAAAATCTTTCAGATCATGGGGTTCAATGCCAATATCAAATCGTAAATATAAGGATCAAATCTGAAAGTGAATCCAGTTTCAGAGACCTCAGAAGCCACTGTGGAAGAACCTCCTTTCAGATAGAGACAAGGGATTGCGTGACTTTTTATCTCTCGTGTCCACCGAAGTGTTCAGAACATGACAGATACTCCATGTGCGTAGTCACATTCTGTGTATGTGCATTTATTTTCCAGCAGGACTAGAGGGCCTAAGCTTTGTTTCTATGGTGACCCAGGGCCCAAATGAGCAGTAGAATCTTAGCGCAGTCGCCTACACGCCCATTTTAATTCTGTCCTTATCCAAGCTGGTCAAAGTGTGGTCTGTATTTTAAGGAGATCCCCAGGTGAATCTTGTGCATGTCGAAAGAGGAGAGCACGGCCCTCAAAATACAGAGCAGGTGAACCAATTTAATTCTTAATTTATAGAGGTGGGCTGGCTGTTGATTTATCTCGCTGATGGGAAGATTCAGATCAACATAATCACCCCCTTGAGGATATTGGATTAAAAAAAAGGTTTAGATATTAGATGTGGTTCACAACTGCATGCCACTCTTTTTACTACAGTATTGAGAAGCACATTTCCCATAGATTTAGATGAAAATTTCTATCTCATGATCCTTCTGTATTTTTTTTTTTTTTTTTTTTTTTGAGACAGAGTTCAGCTCTTGTTACCCAGGCTGGAGTGCAATGGCGCGATCTCAGCTCACCGCAACCTCCGCCTCCTGGGTTCAGGCAATTCTCCTGCCTCAGCCTCCTGAGTAGTTGGGATTACAGGAATGCGCCACCATGCCCAGCTAATTTTTTGTATTTTTAGTAGAGACGGGGTTTCACCTTGTTGACCAGGATGGTCGCGATCTCTTGACTTCGAGATCCACCCGCCTCAGTCTCCCAAAGTGCTGGGATTATAGGCGTGAGCCTCCGCGCCCAGCCCCCTTCTGTATTTTCAAAATTGGATACTGAATAAAGAGTGGCCACACTGAATCTGTTAAAGGGATCTCACTCAAACCACAGTCACACTTTCTAGTAGACCCCATAAAAATCATTGTTTTAAAGAAGGCTGATTTATTTATCCACCTCTTGAAACATTTTGGTAATTATAACAATGCAAGAGTGTGTGTGTGTGTGTGTGTGTGTGTGTGTGTGTGTGTTAGCAATGTAGAAATCCTGACTTGTGTGCGCCCATCAGGTACAGAAGATAAATATTATCGTAGAGAAAATTTTCATTGTGGAAAAGTGCATACTGTTTGAATATTCATTTTATGCTTCTTGCAGATATTATACCCAGATAATATCTGGGTGTGATAATGTTGATTCCAAGGCATCAAAAATAGAGAACACATTTTATATTTCTAGCTGAAAATAATAACCTTTGGGGAAATGTGATAGAAATATTATTGACCATCACAACTCACTAAAAGCATAAAATTTGCAAATGCTTTAAACTACATGTTCTTCATATGAATCTGTATAGAAATATATACACATTTGATAAATGCTATTTAAAGTCTAAGTGCATTGGTAAATCATTCAGACATTCGTAGGTTGAAGGGATTATCTTTATCTGCTTTTACACTGAGAATTAGATTTCTATTCTTTATAAAGCAGGTGATAAAGATTTTGCATGGAGTGAAAGTGTTCGATCCTTATTAATCATAATGGCAGCTGTGCTGCAGAAGAGAAATCCTGTCAGTGTGAAGTTTTCAGTTTTACATCATAATCAGAGGTGTGTCAATCTCTATTGAAGGCAGAATTAAAAACTCCTTCAAAATTTTTTACAACAATAGATGAAAAACATCTCAAAGTCACCTTTAACATTTGAATAGACAATTCCACATAACGGGAAAGAGACCAAGAACATCTTAAAGAAATACTTCACTATGGAACGGATGTTTTAATTGTGATTTCATTAACTTCAGTAAGAATCTCATTAGTTTACTCTGGCAAATATTTTCCAGTAAAATGAGAAAGACTTGTTTTTTAAAAAAATGATAAACAATTTACAGGGTTTAATCTAATGTTTTGATTTCCAAAGTGTTACTTGTGCCCTTGTGGGGACACATGTGTATTGATCTGCATTTTCTTGGCTCGTCCAAATGCCAATAGAACATTTCACTATCCAGGCTCTGTAAAAACTGAATTAATTTACAAAAAGTGAGGATTGTAGGTATGCTGTTGGGTATGTGGGCGTGTATGTGTGTGATGTCTGTGAAGAGTGTGAGTGTGTGGTGTGTGTGTGATATGTGTTTGGTGTGCTGTATGTACTGTGTGGTGTGTTTGTGTGTATTGTGTGGTGTCTGTATGTGTATGTGTGTGTATGTGTGTATATGTGTGGTGCTGTATGTGTGTGGTAGGTTCATGTGTGTGTGGTGTGTGTATGTGCAGTGCCTGTGTGTGAGCATGTACACATGGTGTGGCTTGTGCAGTGTGTGTGTATGAGTGACCACTTCTCTTAGCATGCAGACATCAGTCTTCCAGAACAGCTTTCTCCATGTGTCTGGAACCATGAGAAACGAGTTTCTGCAATAATTGTTTCACAACTTTTCCAGAGAGGGACCAGATCTCTGTCGTAAGTGTGCGTCTGTGACATTACAGGAGGGGATGTGATATCCCCGCTTGGCTCACACCCTCTGTGGGTCTGGGCGGGGCTCAGGGGTTGGAGCCTGCCTTGGCTCAGCAGAGGGAGGGCTGTGTCACCACAGGGCACCAGCAGAGGACGGGTGTGCTGGAAGACCAGGTGATCATAATGGCAGTAACAACAGCAACAATCATGGTGTTTTATGCATTGCATGTGTTATAAGGATTTTAACTTTTATGTAACATAACTGCAAAAACGTCCCCAGTTCTTTGTCTCTGCTATTCACATACTGTTGAAATGCATGAAAACTTCACATTTTAGGTAGTTTCGTTTGTTACTCCAATTTTTACATGGTTTCTCTTTGAAATTAAGATTTTTAAAGACATTATTTCCCAAGTCAGAAAACACACACACAGATCTAATTTTCTTTTCTTTTTTAATTTTTTTAATTTAACACTAGAATTAACTTCTATGTATAGGGTGGGATCATGATGTAACTCTGTCATTTCATGTTCTCAAATCATTAACCAGTATTTTAATACCATCAATGGGATAATGACTCTTGATTTGTAGATTTGCAGTGTTACCCTGTTACTACATAAAATTACACAAAATCTCTGGGATTTTAATTCCCTTTCGTTTACATGTGTATTTTTGTGCCGTATCAAAGGTTTAATTTTGAAAAGTTATAGTGATGTTAAATACCCCACAGGTTAATTTTATAATATTGGCTCTCAGTGTGTGTTCGTTCATCAGACTGAATTTAAAATCACATTTTCTTGTTCCAAAATATCCTTCATAAAATTTTTATTGAATGTAAGCATATTTTAAAATAATTTTCAGCAAATTAAAGAGTTAATATTATTGAGTCTTCTCATCCAGAAGGTGAAATGCAAATTTCTCAAACCTTCTTTAATGTCATTTAGTCACAATTAATATGTTAAATCAATATAAGTCCACATAAATAAATACAATTAATAATTACATAAATTAATGTGTTTGGCTCCACTTTTCTGTCTTCTGCCTTCTATGACTGATGTTTTATTTCATTTATGCTTGTTATTTTCTACATTTTGTTTTATTATGTCTTTGCTCTGTCTTGTGATTTGGAAACTATATGGCACATTGTAGCTTTATTTTTTTTAATATTTTGTTTTTTAGCTTTCATTAATAAACTTTATTTTTTAGAGAAGTTCACAACTAAATGGAGCAGAGAGTACAGAGTTCTCATATGTCCCTTTCTGCACACACGGCCTCCCCTCTACAGCTTCCTGCCTCACAGGAGCACACCTGTTACTACCAGGAACCTCCCCGAACCATCATTATCACTCAAGGCTTACCGTGTACATTCAGGTTCACCCTTCGTGCTGTACATTCTGAGACTTGACAAAAGCATAATGGCAATGGGATATTATTCACTGCTAACAAGAGATGAACTATCAAGCCACAAAAACGTGGAGAAAACTTAAATGCATATTGCTAAGAGAAGCCAATCTGAAAAGACTACCTCCTGTTTGATTCCAATTATATAACGTTCTGGAAATGGTGAGACTATGGGAACAGCAGAAAGATCAATGGTTGCCATGGACCAAGAACCAAGGGGAAGGAGGAGGTGGATACACAGAGCACAGAGGGTTTTTAAGGCAGTGGAACTATTCTTTATTATGCTATAATGGTAGATATATACATTTGTGAAAGTCTATTTTAACTTTTAAATTATATTTTTGTTTTAAAAACTATAGACAACCTGGGAGCTGTGACTCATGCCTAAAATCTCAGCACTTTGGGAGGCCAAGGAGGGAGAATTGCTTGAGCCCTGAAGTTCAAGACCAGCCTGGGCAACATAGTGAAACCTCATCTCTACAAAAAATTAAAATTTAGACAAGTATAGTGCCACATGCCTGTAGTCCCAGCTACTCAGGAGGCTGTAGTGAGAGGATCACTTGACCCCAGGAGTTCAAGACCACCGTGAGCTGTGATCATGCCACTGCACTCTAGCCTTGGAGACAGAGCAAGATCTCATCTCAAAACATAAAACAACAAAAAACACTATAAACTCACTTCAGAGGTATTGGGGATTTGGTTCAAGACCACTGCAATAAGACAAATGTTGCAATGAAGTTAGTCATGCAAATTATTTGGTTTCCGAGTGCATATAAAAGTTATGTTTAAACGATACTGCAGTCTAACGAGTATGTTAATAATCTTATGTCTAAAAACAGTATGTGTGTACCTTAATTAAAAATACTACTTTATTGCTTAAAATACTAACAAATATCTGAGCCTTGAACAAGCCATAATCTTTTTCTTGGTGAGGATCTTGCATCTATATTGATGGCTGCTGCTGAAGATTGGGGTGCCTGTGGCAATTTCTTAAAATAAGACAATGAAGTGTGTTGCATTGATACACTGTTCCTTCCACACAACATTTCCCTGTAGCATGTGATACTGTTTGACAGCATTTTAGCCATAGTAGAACTTCCTTCAAAATTGGAGTAAACCTTCTCAAACCCTGTTGCTGCTTTACCAACTAGGTTTATGGAATATTTTAACCCTTTGTTGTCGTTTCAACAATGTTCATGACATCTCAACCTGGAGTAGTTTCTCTCTCAAGAAAATATTTTCTTTTCTCATCCATAAGAAGCAACTCCCCCTTTGTTCAAGTTTTATCATGATTTCACATCAATTTCATCCCACCTTAAGGCTCTAATTCTACTTCTAGTTGTCTTGCTATCTACCACATCTGCAGGGACTCCTTCCACTGACATCCTGAACCCTCAAAGTCATCCATGAGGCTTGGAATCAACTTCTTCCAAACGCCTGTCACTGTTGATATTTCAACCTCCCCCCATGAATTACAAATGTCCTTAATGGCATCTAGAATGGTGAATCCTTTCCAAAAGGTTTTCAATTCACTTTGTCCATCAAAGAAATCACTATCTAGGACAGCTATACCTTTATCAAATGCATTTCTCATTTAATAGTAAGACTTGAGAGTCAAACTGCTCCTGGATCCCTGGGCTGGAGAGTGGATACTGTATTAGCAGACATGAAAACATTACTTTCCCTAAACATCTCCATCCAAGTTCCCGAGTGACCAGGTGAATTGTCGATGAGCAGCAATATTTTTAAAACAATCATACTTCTTCTTAGCAGTAGGTCTCAACAGTGGGCTTAAACTGTCAGTAAATCGCGCTGTTACAGATGTGCTGTCGTCCAGGCTGTGGTCTTCCATTTCTAGAGCATGGAAAGTAAATTTAGTGTAATTCTTAAGGGCCCCAGGATTTTTAGAGTGGTGAATGAGCACTGGCTGTGACTTGAAGTCACCTGCCAGACGGTCCCTGAGTCAGCCTGTCCTTTGAAGTTCTAAAGCCGGCCGTTGACTTCTCCCTAGCAATGAAAATTCTACATGGCATGTTTTTCCAATAGAAGGTTGTCTCACCTATGCTGAAATTCTGTCGTTCAGTGTAGCCACATGCACCAGTGGCCTTACCAAGGATCTCCTAGATAACCCGCTGCAGCTTCTCCATCAGCACTTGCTGCTTTACCTTGCACCTGTAGGTTACAAAGGTGGCGTCTTTCCTTAAATCTCATGAACCCATCTGCTGGCTTTCAAGTTTCTTCTACAGCGTCCTTGCCTCGGCCTTCGTGGAACTGTTGAGTTAGGGCCTTGCTCTGGATTAGGCTCTGGTTATGGGAATGTTGTGGTTGGTCTGATTTTCCAGCCAGACCACGCAAACTTTCTCCATATCAGCAGTAAGCCTGTTCTGCTTTCTCATCATTTGTGTGCTCACTGGAACAGCAGTTTCTGTTTCCTTTCAGGACTTCTCCTTTACATTTACAACTTGACTGCTTGGTGCAGGGCGCCTATCTTTTGGCCTGTTTTGGCTTTTGACATGTCACCTCCACTAAGCTTAATCATTTCTAGCCCTAGATTTAAAGTGGAGACATGCAATTATTTCTTTTATTTAAATACATAAAGACTACTGTGATTATTAATTGGCTCAATTTAATATGACTGTGTCTCAGAGAACAGGCAGATGCAGAGAGAGAGAGAAAAAACTTAATATGACTGTGTCTCAGAGAACAGGGAGGTGCAGAGAGAGAGAGAGAGAGTGGGGAGCAACTGGCCAGTGGGACAGGTAGAACCTACAGAAGCTCCATATGAAGTCTGCCATCCTATATGGGCAGGGATCATGGCACCCAAAACATTTACAATAGTAGCATCAAAGATCACTGATTGCAGATCACCGTAACATAGATAATCATAATGAACCATTTGAAATATTATGAGAACCACCAACTGTGACACAGAAACAGAAAGTGCTTTTGCAAATTGTTGGCAATAGACTTGCCCAGTGCATGGTGAGGGTGGTCACAAACCTTCAACTGGAAAAAAAAAGCCATTATCTGCAAAGCGCAAGAAAGTGAAACTCAATAAAATGATGCGCACCTGTACTTAAAACTGTCCTGGTGTGAACGTAGGGAGTGAGCTCTTAATAGGTTTGCTGGATTTGGCTATTGTGTGGTTTCATTCAGCAGTCCCAAGATGCACTCAGTAACTAGCCTCCTGGCAGACTAATTTTTTCTCTAAAAAATTAAGAGAAATTTTTTGAATATTGCTGCTTGTTTCATAAATTCCAAATATTCAATCGTCCTTTAAAAATCATATACTCTAAAGACTGATTTATTTTCTAAATTAACTTTATCTCTCTTCACCACAGCAACTCCACAAACCCCACAACAACCATCCCAGAGTATGCAAAGGAGCACTGTTTTAGTACAATCCCATCATGCACTCCTCTGTTCATTTATCATTTTAGTACAATCCCATCATGCACTCCTCTGTTCATTTACTGTTTTAGTACAATCCCATCATGCACTCCTCTGTTAGTACAATCCCATCATATACTCCTCTGTTCATTTACTGTTTTAGTACAATCACATCATGCACTCCTCTGTTCATTTACCATTTTAGTACAATCCCATCATGCACTCCTCCATTAGTACAATCCCATCATGCACTCCTCTGTCAGTACAATCCCATCATACACTCCTCTGTTCATTTACCATGTTAGTACAATCCCATCATGCACTCCTCTGTTAGTACAATCCCATCATGCACTCCTCTGTTAGTACAGTCTCATCACCCACTCCTCTGTTCATTTACCATTTTAGTACAATCCCATCATGTACTCCTCTGTTAGTACAATCCCATCATGCACTCCTCTGTTCATTTACCATTTCGTACAATCCCATCATCCACTCCTCTGTCATTTACCATTTTAGTACAATCCCATCATGCACCCCTCTGTTCATTTACCGTTTTAGTACAATCCCATCATGCACTCTTCTGTTCATTTACCATTTTAGTACAATCCCATCATCCACTCCTCTGTTCATTTACCATTTTTGTACAATCCCATCATCCACTCCTCTATACATTTATCCAGTAGTTTGGCAGCCACAGACTTTGTACTGAGTGTCAAGGTAAAAATTCAACTTAGGGTGTTACTACTTGGGACTTTAGGTTAGGTCAGAGATCCCTCATGACAACTGACCCCAAAATATAATTCAAGTTTCAATTAGAAGGCTCTCTACCCTTTAAATGTTCAGATATATAGAAATCATAATTCAAACCTCAATTTTTCTCCTTCTACTTTATCCTGCAGCCACAGAAACCAAGTGTTTCCACCACAAGAGTGGCATGGCTGCAAAATTCTTCTCCCTTGGTGGCTTCTATATCAAGCATACCATAATCTTTTTTTTGGAAGATTTAGGGGTGCTGTGGAAGTATGTCCGGGACAACCTGTTGAAATTCCTCCTGCTCCTACCTTCATCTGGGAACCTGGCCCCACCTTCTCCTACCCTTCGCAGCACCTCAGGCTCCTTACATGGCCCCTGCCTCCCAGCACAGCCTGAAAGAAGAGTGGTTCATTGCACCTCCTCCAGCTGCTGCTTTTAAGAGGGAGCAGCCCTAGCAGTTTTGACTGTTTTCCAAAGTCCTTAAAATAAGTACAGCAAAATCTTGGATTAACGCTTTCCAATTTACTTAAAGGCACTCAACTTTTAAACAAAAAAATGTATAGTTCTTTTTGTTATGGAACCAATATTCCAGTATCAATGTATATCATGGTCACAAAATCTACCACCAAGACATTTCTGATTTGGAAGCGAAGGTACTAAAACTTTTACTATTAGCAACTACGCATATTGTTTCAGCCCTGAAATCAAGGTCGAAGAGCTAATAATTTTCATTCTTGGTGCAGAAATCTGTTTGTTTCCTGTTGAATTATGTCAGTTAAGGCATGCAAGCATTCATTTTATTCCCTTGCAAAGCACTGGTTTCCTGCATTAATTTTTTGTTGTTTTTTTTTTAAAGCTTTTGCTTAATTACATATTAAAATAATAGTTGATTTAACAAGTAGTTGTCTATACATCTGATATAAGATATATCTGATACAAGATTTTAAAATATATTTGTTGGGCGCAATGGCTCACGCCTGTAATCCCAGCACTTTTGGAGGCTGAGGTGGGTGGATCACCTGAGTTCAGGAGTTTGAGACCAACCCGGCCAATCTGGTAAAACCCCGTCTCTACTAAAAACACAAACATTAGCTGGGTGTGGTGGCAGGTGCCTGTAATCCCAGCTACTTGGGGGGCTGAGGCAGGAGAATCACTTGAATCCAGGAGTTGGAGGTTGCAGTGAGCCAAGATGAAGCCACTGCATTCCAGCCTGGGTGATGAAGTGAGACTCAGTCTCAAATATATATATACTGTAAAAGTCAAAATAAAATATATTTAGGAATTCATTTTGTTGAAAAATCATTTTCAATCAAATGTCATGGGGATACTCTGCAATGCAACCTTCAGCCCATTTCTAAAACAGATTTATATATTGTCAGCAGTTGTTGGGAGACAGGAGCTATGATTGCACTCTAAAATTTATTTTACTACAAACATAAACCCTAGAAAACTTTCATAACATATTTTTCCCAGTTGGTTTCAGTGTGAATTGTGCATTTTGAAAGTACCACGACTGGTTTAAAATCCATAGAAGAGTGAGAAGAAAGATTTACATTTCCCAAATGTCGCTCATTACCTAGATCCCCTATGTTGGTAAACAGATTGTGCCATTTAGGAAAATGAATTTTGTCTAAATCATCTTCTCGTGGTTGTTAAATCAGCACTGTATTTTGCCTTTCATGGCGATATTCAGCCCAGTTACTGCCTAACCCTTGTCAGGTGCCATTCCAGATGCGGCAATACAGCAACAACACAGCAGAGTCCAGTCTTCGTGGAGTTTACTTTCTAATGAAGGAGGCAGATGACAGAGACAAAATCCAGTAAAATCATGGTGTATTAGATGCTGTTAGGTGTAAGAAGAAAAATGAAACAAGCAAAGAGACAGGGAGTGCCTCGCTGAGCTGTGGGGTGGAGAGTCTCGCTGTTTTATGTAGAGCTGCTGAGGAACGTTTCCCAGACGTGGTGGTACTAAGAATAAGGTCAGTAAGGAAAGAAGCTTTGTAGCTATCTGGGGAAAGAACATTCCAAAAAGGCCCTGGGGCAGGCTCCCGCTTGCCATTTCTAGGACCAGTAAGGGTGTTAATGTGGCTGGAGCATAGAGAGCAGGTGCCAGAGAAAAAGACCCAGAGATTAGAGCCAGGGGAAGTGCATGGTGTAGTGAAGAAGGCCTCAGGGCGCATGCTGAGGACATTAGCCTCTGAGGTGATAGGAGAAGCCTATGAGAAGATTCTGTGCTCACCAGGAATGTCTCTCCTACCATTGAAAATAATCACCCTGGTTATTGTGCAGGGCCCAGAAGCTGACCTGGGGAAAGCAGAATGGATATTGCAATAAGCCAAGATGAAATGATGTTAATGGAGGCCAGGGTTATAGTGCTGACAGTGAGAAAATGGTCAGGCTCCAGAAACATGGAAGCAGAGCTCCTAGAGCCAGCTGAGTAATTGGATGTGGCTGTGGAGAAATAAACAATGTAGCTCACTTTTAGCTCAGGTTTGCAACTGAAAGAATGAGGCTACTATTAAAGGTAATGGCAGAAACACGACAATTACTTTTGCACTAACCTAATACTAACACATATAAAGGAGGGTGAAGGAAGAACAATTCTGAGGATGTAAACAACTCACCAGTTTCAGATGAGCAAGAGTTGATACACTTGTTAGATTCCAGATGGAGCTGTACAGACACATCAGGAGTCCAGGTCTGGGCCACAGATAACATTTTTGGAATCATTGATTTGCAGTTATTTAAAATCACAACTTTAATTTATTTGGACTCTAGAATAAATATAGATAGAGATTTTGAGGATTAACCTTTAGAGAACTTTGGCAGATAGAGGTGGATAAACCAAATAAGAATATGAGGAGGTACCACCAGTTAGGTAGATTAAGGGCAGGTGTACCGTTTTTAAGTGAGATTTTAAGATTTCAAAGTAAAAGAACATAAGTTAATATAAACTATCAGCTCAGACAAAATTATAGTCAAATTGTCTTTATGTAATGCTAACACATTATATTTTTTTGTAAGATAATTTAAAAATAATCAATATGGCTTCAGATTTTTAAAAAAGCACAGCTAGAAGAAAAGTATATTCAAGGTCAAGTTATGTCATTTCTTCTAAGTACACCATGCTGTAGAAGGGAGTTAACATGTGTAGGCCACAGTTTGATTCAAATGTAAATAAGAGCATTGTCTGTCAGACACTGCACAACTTGTCACACCTGGAATCCAGTGCACCGTCACCCACCATCATATTCTGTTTCACACTGATTTTAGTATACTTTCCTTTTAGCACAGAAGCCTCTAACAACCCAACTTCACAAAGACACAACGTCATTAAAAGACATGGGGCATGATCTAGTTGAAAGTGAATGACTACAATCTCATCTTGAGGTCCTTCAAAGACATTGAAGGTCATCATTTTTATCAAGTTGTAAAATTGCAAACTCTTGAGTCCCTGCCACCATCGTCTTTTCTGGGGAATACAACAATCTCATTCTCATGAGGTTTTTTTTTTGGTTTTAATCTTGTTCTCCAACTCTTGTTTCACACTGCAGCCAGAATAATCTTTAAGAAGTCAGAAATTGGCCAGGTGCAGTGGCTCAAGCCTGTAATCCCTGCACTTTGGGAGGCCAAGGCGGGTGGATCACGAGGTCAAGAGATGGAGACCATCCTGGTCAACATGGTGAACCCCCGTCTCTACTAACAATACAAAAAATTAGCTGGGTGTGGTGGCGCGTGCCTGTAATCCCAGCTACTCAGGAGGCTGAGGCAGGAGAATTGCCTGAACCCAGGAGGCGGAGGTTGCAGTGAGCTGAGCTCGTGTCATTGCACTCCAGCCTGGGTAACAAGAGCGAAACTCCCTCTCAAAAAAAAAAAAAAGACAGAAATCTCATCATGTTGATTGTGTCTGTAATCTTTCAAAGACTTCTTACTGTCTCAAGAGGGTCCAGTTCCTCATCCTTTGTGATTTGTGGTCTGCTGGCCCCCAACCTCATTTCTTACCAAATTTACACCTCTATCTGTTTTACTCAATTTCATGACACACTGTGTTTCTCTCAGTTTCTCAAATGTGCTAAATTTTGGTCATTTTCACAGACTCTTCTTTCTGCCTCGAACAAATAAATGTTCCTTCTTTTTTACCTGATTAACTTCTCACTTTTTAACATTTTTTTTTAGCTATTTTTTCCTCAAGGTAGCATTCTCAGATTCCACAGGCGCAGTTCAATTTTACTGCTGTGTGTTTCCTTTTGTAACTCATTGTAGGACAAATTAAAATATTGCAAGTAAATGTTTGATTGCATCTACATCTTATTTCTCCTTCACTAGTCTATGTACTCATTGAAAACACTGACTATTTCATGGTCGCCTCTGCACCACCTCTGAGCCGTATCATGATGGGTGCATAGAAAGGGCTCAAAATGTTTATTAAATAAATGAAAATAAAACTGCCATAACAAAACATAGATCTTAAAGACATGTTTTACCAAGTAATAATAGCTACTGCATTAAGAGTATAAATGACATAGTCCTCACTGATTCTGTTTTGTACAACATGCACTCTGGGAAATGACTTGCATATTATTCACTGAGGTTTTGACAGTTACCGTATGCAATGGCATCCCTTTCACTCGTATCATTTGGTTTTTCTGATATGGGGAATCTAATATCTAATATGAGTCAAATTCATATCTATAGCACACTAAAATATTTGTGTAATTTTATTCTTAACATATTTAAATTATGTGCAGTTTGATGACTTATTCAGAAAAACTTGCTCATTTGTATAAAAAATCAAGCATTGACAAAAATAATTCAAACATTTATTTTTAATAAAGAAAGCTAGACTCGGTTTTGTCTTGAAACAGTTGATGTATAACCAGCAGCATTTGGGAAGTTTGGTGACATTTATCTGAATGCTTCTTAGTGACCCAGCAGTCACACAGAGCAGGCTTTGGATGGAGAGAACATTCTAGGTCTTCATCCTCATCTCACACAAGAAAGTAGAAGCTGGAGGATGAAAATGCATTCTGCTTCCAGCTGGGAAACAACATACTTTCCCCTAGGTCTGGGGAAGGTGGTTCTTTTCAGTAAAGGGCAACAATGCCTTGAAAATGTGAAATAAAAGCTGGTGCATGTATAGGAGGCCATGTCAATGCTTCTGGCATGAAGGCTCACCTGGCCTTGCTGACTTTCTAATCTATTTCCTATAGGGCTTGGTCAAAATATCTACTGGTCTCTTTGGCCCAGAACCATCCCTTATGAACTGGGTTTTGTTGCTCTTTGTGTTGAAGGGAAGAGCTTTTAAATGCTCTTTAGCCCTTTACCTAGGAAGAGCAGGGATTATTCGCATTTCATCAGTGTCTCAAACTTGACTTAATGAAAGAGGACATCGGCTCATTTGTTCCATCACCAGGAAAACTTTGCTTCTCTTACGTAAAAGAGAAGAATCAGAAGCCTCATTTTTAAAGGTCTGTCATACTCAGTCATCTATACTTCAGAATTTGTTTTATGATGAGATTTTTTTAGACTTGGAGAAGTTTTAAAAGACTGAGCATTTGGGAAGAGCATGGGCTGAGGAGTAAGGCAGCAAGTGTAAAAAAACCTGCCGGCTCCTTATTAAAGAGAATGCAAGCTCCATGGGGGGCAGTCATTGCCATTTAAAAAAAAAAACTGCTAGAGCTGCAACACCTAGAGCACGGTCTAGCACATTTCAGTTACTCAATAAATACCCTTAAAATGAATGTGCAAAAGCAAGTCCAGATCTTCTCGTACTGACTGATGATTGAAGGAACATTTCTACACAGATGCATAAAATGGGGCCACTTCACACCTCATCTCTGACACTTCTTTTTGCATTTTATGAATAGCAAAGTGGGAAGAGGTATTGCTTGAGGGAACAGGGCACAGCTGTCTGCACAGAGACTGCATTGCCGAGAGCACAGGGTCCCAGCTGGGTTAGGGTCTTAACCTTAGTGCTGGCAGTGGGTGCAACATTGCATAGATAATTGAGAGTTATTTGTAATTATTTTAAAACCTATTATTTAGCATGTAATTTGTCTTTCTCTTATTCTTTTAGGCAAGAGAAATCATAGTTCCTCCAAAAAACCATTACATGCAACATTACTCCTTATAATTAGGCCTTGTTCTATAGAATAATGTGTAGTGTTTTGACCACCATTTGTACCCCAGCAGTTCTATTGCTTTTGGAAGAAGTGGGTGCTAGATCTGAAACATCCCATGCGTCATTCAAGTCTAAATACAAACTATTTGAGATAGTGTGACAGATCGAGCACCAAGAGATGGTAATATAGAAACAATTTCTGGAGAGGACTCAAGATGGCACTGTGAGAACAACCCAGGATTGAAGCTCTCACCGGATGCGTGGAGAGGGTGAGTTGGGGATGCATTTCCAGACGAATCTTAGTTGCCCACAGAACGGGAAAATTCCCAGGTATAAAAGAGACGCGGGACGCCAGGCAGAGGTCTCAGCTGGTGTAGCCGGCAGCCGGTGTGGCTCCGGCCCGCGCCGGAGCGCAGAGGCGCTCCACAGCGCTCCATACAAAAGCGCACTGTTACGGGTGCCCTGTTGAACCAACAAACTGAGACCTGAGAGGGCTAAACTTGAGACTGAACAGGACTTGGGAAGTGAGCCAGCCCAGGAAATCCCAGGGACAAAGCATTTGGGCTAGCGCAGTGTGACAAAGAAAACGGCGATTCCAAACCCTCCCGTTGAGGAGGTTTTCTTAAAGCGCAGCTCCACGGGGGAGGGGCGTCTGGCATTACTGAGGCAATCAGCCCCCACTGAGGTACACGCCCATTGCTGATGTAGCCTGCCGTTGCCGAAGCAACCCGGTACAACAAAGAGACTCCGCTACAGGGCATAGCCCGTGGCAAAAGGGTGGAGACCGTGGCAACAGGGCGGTGACCGCAGCAGAAGGGCAGAGACTACAGCAACAGGGTGAACCTCACACCAGCAGAGCGGAGCCTCGGCAGGCAAATAGTGATTTGACTGCCTCCTAGCTGGGCAGGACAGCGAGGCGGAAACTCACAAGGAAAGCCTCAACCCACCTCTCCCCCACAGAGCATCTGAGAAAAAAAGGGTTTTTTTCAGCCTATCAGCCCTGAATGAACAACAGAGCTCACAGCTCAGCAATTGAGCTCCTACAAAATACAGACTGTCTCCTCAAGCAGCTCCCTGACCCCTCTATATCCAAAAGACTGACATTTGGCAGGCATCATTCTGGGACAAAGATAGCAGAAAAAGAAACTGGTAGCATCCCTCACTTTTCCGCAGCTGCTATAGGTGCACCCCAGACAAGCAGGGCCTGGAGTGGACCTCAGCAATCATACAGCGAAGGGGCTAGACTGGTAGAAGGAAAACCAAGTAACAGAAATAGTTCATCACCAACAATCTGGGTGTCCACTCAGAGACCCAATCAAAAAGTCAGCAACTACGCAGACAACAAGTGGATAAATCCACAAAGATGGGAAGAAACCAGTGCAAAAAGGAGGAAAACACCCAAAACCAGAACACCTCGCCTCCTAGAAAGGACCAAAACTCCTCACCAGCAAGGAAACAAAGCTGGACTGAGAATGACTGTGATGAAATGACGGAATTAGACTTCAGAAGGTGGATAATGAGAAACTTTTGTGAGCTAAAAGAACATGTATTACATCAATGCAAAGAAACTAAGAACCTTGAAAAAGATATGAAAAAAGATTTGAGAAAATGATAACAAGAATGGATAACTTAGAGAGGAATATGAATGAATTAAAGAAGCTGAAAAACACAATACGAGAACTTCGCAAAGCATGCACAAGTTTCAATAGCCGAATTGACCAAGCAGAATTCGAAGACTGACTGAAGTCGAAGATCAACTCAATGAAATAAAACGAGAAACCAAGATCAGAGAAAAAAGCACA